GTCTAGTGCACCCCTGACGGCCTTTGAAAATCTAGAGGATCGAGTGTCGTCCACGCCCGATCGTACTCATAACCGCATCAGGTTTCCAAAGTGAACAGCCTCTGGGCGATGGAACAATGTAGGCAAGGAAAGTTGGCAAAATGGATCCGTAACCTCAGGAAAAGGATTGGCTCTGAGGGTTGGGCACGGGGGTCCCAATCCCAAACACGTCGACTGTCGGTGCACTGCTCGAGCTATTTCTGCGACGAGAACGGGTAGCCGCATGCCGATCGAGGGATAGACTGAGAACGGCTCCCTCGAAGGCCTTCCCTGGGCGATGAACAATCAACTCAAAATTGGTACGAACAAGGGGAATCCGACTGTTTAATTAAAACAAAGCATTGCGATGATCCCTGCGGATGCTCACGCAATGTGATTTCTGCCCAGTGCTCTGAATGTCAAAGTGAAAAAATTCAACCAAGCGCGGGTAAACGGCAGGAGTAACTATGACTCTCTTAAGGTTGCCAAATGCCTCGTCATCTAATTAGTGACGCGCATGAATGCATTAACTAGATTCCCACTATCCCTGTCTACTATCCAGCAGACAGTTATATAAAAACTATGATTTCTCTATGGAATCATTATGAGCTAGATCTGAACTCAGTAGGTGAAGGCCTTCAGAAGTAATTCATTACAGGTTGGTTATTCATCAACACAAGTTTAGCTTATGACGTGTTTGAAAGCCCTCATCCGAATGATTATTTTACAAAAAGCCAACAAGGAATTCCATTAATAACTTGTCATTTTGATTCTTTGGAACAACTCGATGAATTTAGTAGATCTTTTTAGAAAGACTCAAAGACCATAGATTGAACCTATCCAATTTTTATAGTGTGATTGTTAGCTGTTCATGAATTAGCTGTACCTATTGTTTCTTTTTTAGGATCAATATCAATAATGCAGTTCATCCAATGATAAACCTAATTTGAATTAATTATAGAGCTATGAGACAATCAAACCCAAACAAACAAAATGTTGAATTGCATTGTACCAGTCTCTACTAGGGGTTATTATTTTGTCAAGCATTCTGGGACTGTGCCTCTTTATTCATAAGCATAAGCAATAGGAAGAAAATCTATGAAATTGGTATAATCATCATTTCTTCCAACATCTTCCCCATCCACCGAAGGTGAACAATGCTAGAGACATGGAAATGGTGAATTTTCTTTATTTTCCTACTCACTGAAATGCCATCAAAGAGCTTAACCAATAAAAAAAATAATCATATTCAAGGATGGAAACCACCTTCCTGGTTTGCTTCCATCATTAAGATTTTAGGGTGCTTGATCAACTCAAAAGTGCATATATCATCAAAATCAAGTTTTAAATCCTAAAAATCTAGTAAAACAGCACCAATTGCCAAGATTATAGAAAACCATGGAAAATCCTAGAGACCTATGTTCGGTATGATTTGATTGACTATGAGACAGGAGGTAACCAACCTAAGGTGAAATAATGAATTCAATTGCAAGCTACTCTCTTAGTTTTCTTCAATATTTTCCCTCATCATCCTCACTAAAGCCCTCAACAATGGTAATGCCTTTTTAGGTAATCTCTCTCACAATTTCACTAGATAGAACACGGAAACAAAGCTATTTCTTAAAAGTAGCAAGTAAAAGTGAGGGACTCAGAAACCTACATCCCCATTTATACCCAACCAAGGGGTGGAGGTGAAGCGGTAATATACAAATCCCTTCAATTGCTTTTTGAAAGGTGAAAAGTTCAAAACCATTAATACCTTTCCAACTACCCTCTCAAGATTGGTGAAAAAATAAATTCAGTTCTTAAAACCATGCCAAAATTAATCCTCTTTCAAAGACTTTTCATCGACTCCCTTGAAACTAATGTATTTTTGGAAAACACACCCATTCAATGCCACGAAGCTGTGTAATTTGAAAAAAAACACACCCATTAAATGTATTTGACAACTCCCCACTCAAAATGAGACATGTAGCTTGTTCAATCACTTCTCTCAGAAACACAAGTGCGTACAGTACACCACCTTATCAGACGTGTCCTAACCACACTTGTTCCATAAACAAAGTGCAAAGCCTTTATAGCAAAATTTTCTTAAGTCCTCACTTATTGGTTTCTATAACCTTACCAACTTTCTAGCTCACCAAGGATAGTCAGTACTTCCAAGCATGACACATCAACAATTGAGCTCACCAAAACATCTTCCCTGACCACAAGGACACCTTAGCATAATTGCTCACCAAAGACACTCATCTCACCTTAGATAGGACACATCATCATGCAAAGCTCGCCAAAACATAAAGACTCCTCATTAAAACACTTTTGCTATAATTCTTTTTTACTTTCTTTTTTCAAGCTTTGGACAACAATCTAAGGGTGGTCACTTTATAACTACCTCAAACTTGAAGGGCAATTGTTATGCCTAAGTCAACTGGTCAATGATTAAAGCTTGGTCAACATAGTTAGGTTTTTAGATCACCTAGACAAAGCTTGTCTAAGTAATCGTGTCACTTGCTCTAAGGGAAATGGCTTGCCTTTCATTAAAAGAAAGACTCGCCCTCGCCCAAGGTCCTACCAATGACTTGTCTAAGTAGTCACTCCAAAATTATGCCATCAGCACCCAACTTACCTTGTATCATTAAATGTGGCCCATGCCTGCCTGTGATCATTAAATATAATTTTTATCTACTCATATGGACCCTTCTCGAGTTTCACATAGACATCCTATCAACTGTCAACTATCTTAGTTAGGCATCACCCTTGATCTTAAAAAAAAGATAGGTGGAAAACCAGATATTCAAGGTAACACAAACTAGATCCAACATCTTTTAGATTTTCTCTCCATTAAAGCTTCACACACACACTTTACCATATTTATCTTCCTTCTTACTTCTTAACCCTACTTTGGGCATCATATTGACTTGAGCATCAGAGAGTGCATGGAATAACAAGTCTAGCGTCCCTGTCATATTTTCTACCTACAGGTCACAACTGTCTTTCTTTTCCACCTCATTCATTTCCTTTCAACTAAGACATTTAAAAACACCATCAACAATTATATTACCCTTCATCAACTTACTCTACAAACCTCATAATCTGATAAAACCATGAGTATTTACTCCATGTTTGACAAAAACAATTAACCAACAACTTGTTAAATTAATAGCCACGTGATGATGTATGCCCTTCAAAAGGCCATAATGTGTACCTATTAGGGCTCTTTTGTGTTGAAACCATTGTCTTATACAAAGCTGCAATCTTTTTGTCTTTTCTTTCCCTCAAATGAGTATAAATTCTTATGCACATTGTAATCATATAGATCAACAAATATTATAAAAGAGTCCAAAAAGTTTTAAAAATAAAAAATTGAGGGAATTTGCTAATGACAAGTATGAAGAATTCTAGTTTCATTTGTTGCATCTTAGCTATAGTTCTTTTGGCATTCTCAGGTTTTTTCTTTTTTACCCTTGATTGATGCTTCATGTTAGTCTAAAAGGTATTAAGATTTTCCTTTTTTTTTAAATGAAAAAGCGGCAGAAAAAAAGGAAGTGATGGTAAAAAATAAGGGGAGGTGCCTTGAAATGATTGATCCAAAGAGATTTAATCTCTTGTCTTGCAAACAACAATGCTTTCAACTTAAGAATGGAAATGGCGTTGCTTGGCCAATGTCAAAAAGGGTTACAAATGTATTTGTTACATAAACTATTAACTAGAGTTTGCTTGAATTCATATAATTAAGGGTAAATTTCATCTAAGTCTTTAAGTTTTAAGTATAATTCAATTCAAGTTCATTAGTTTGAAAAATGGATGCTTCACCCCAAACTTTTCAACTAATAGGACAATGAGGTCATTCTGTTAGTTATCTATTAATTATTCTGTTAAAATCTCATTAAAAAACTATTATACCTTTGAAAAATCAATATCCTCAATTACTCACATAATATAATATTTTATAATAATAATTTTTTTTTATTTTGTCTCAAGATGCATAAAATATATTTATAATATAAAAAAATTTAAATGCAACATATGAAAACAAAACTTACAATTATAAATATGCTAATATGTAAATATATGTATAACAAAATGAATATATTAAGCATGTAAAAATTTTAACCAAACCATCTTTTTTTCCAACCACATTTTTTTTTATTATATGTTACATATTCATTTTCTTTGAAATTTGTTCCATGTCGAAAAATTCATTTTATTATAAATATTTACATATTAGCTTATTTATAATTATGAATTTTGTTTGTATATATTGCTCCTAAAAATTAATATATTTTATATATTTTAAGAAAAAATAAAAAATTATTTATATAAATCATTATTTTATGTGAATATTTGGGGATATTTATTTTTCAAAGATAAAATGGTCTTATAATGAGACTTTTAACTAACAAAAAGATCTCATTGTTATATTAATTAAAAAGTTTAAGATGAAGTGTTCATTTTTTAAACTAAAGAACTTGAATTATATTTAAAACTTAAAAACTTAGACAAAATTTACCCTATAATTAATCAAATGTTTATTATTGCCCATTGACTTTTGAATTTGGTATGATATTGAAGTTAACCATTAAAAGTTATAAATTTTAATAAGTTTATGTATCTAAAATCATTTTTAGTCAAACAAGTACAAAGAATAAAATATAAAGATAAGGATTCAAAGGTCAATTAAGAATTTTAAAAAAAAAGTGTTTACTATTAATTAATGTTTCTTCTATTTGATATTAGAACTCAACCAATAAGCCTCCAATGACGGTAAAAGATATCAAGAAGACCAATACCTTTGTTTTATTCCATCATTTTTCATTTTTAATGGTCATAAAATATAGGTGATTTTACTAATCAAGTACAGTTTTTTGGACGGTGAATTCGATTAAATCAAGAGGAATTAGGTAATTGCCATTGAATCAAATACTCAAATATATTCTACGTGAACTGTATACGTGATAAATTGGATTTGTTAGAGACTACTGGGGTTTTTTTTTTTTTCAATAATGCAAGACTAATGTCAATATAAAATGCATGTTCTTGTGGACATTGTTACACATCGATGTCATGGTGATGCCTAGAACACCGATTACGTTTTAAGAAATTAGAACCTCCTTCCCCTAGCATAAATGTAAGATTTTGTAGAATATAAATAGAGAAACAATGCCATGGCACTAAGTGCAGCAAGCAGCCAATAAAAGTAATCAAGATGTGCCCTATTCAGATTATTTGCAAACCAGCTATCTCGGCCATCCCCACTAGTCACATTCTCAATGGCAGAGATGAGAAAGCTACTTATGAAGCTTCCAACACCAAAGATGCTAAGGTAGAGTGCAAGACCCACACTCCTTAATTCATTTGGCACCTGATCATAAAAGAATTCTTGAAGACCAACCATGGTGAACACATCAGATAATCCAAACAGTACGTATTGAGGGACCAGCCACCACACGCTCATTGGAACCTTGACATTTGGTTTGTCTACCAATCCATATTCTTGAGCAGTTTTAAGCCTCTGCATCTCTACTAAAGCAGCTATTACCATTGATGTAGCAGATAGAACCATTCCCGTTCCAATTCTTTGAAGCATTGTAATTCCAGCTGGTTTCCCAGTCAAGGCTCTTGCTAAAGGAACAAAAATGCGGTCATATATAGGAATGAAGAGAACAACTGAAAGGCTAATGAATGACTGAAGAGAAGAAGCAGGTATTTCAAACCCTTTTGTAATTGATCTGTCCATGGTAGCTCCTTGCTTAGTAAAGAAAGTCGATGATTGTGCAAAGACAACTGCATAAATCAAACTTGTAGCCCATATTGGTGCAAGCCTTATAACAGCCTTTGCTTCTTCAAGCTCTCTGATGCTACACACCTTTCCCTGCTCCTTTGAACCATCTGGAGCAAGCAAGGCTTTGTTGAGGAATCTACCACATTAGGAAACCCATATTGCCATGTTAGAGACATTTGTTATAGAAAATGTAAATATGAACATTATTTTCATAAATGAAAAAGAGGAAAAACTCAAATGATTCAATGAAGTTTGAAGTTCTAAACATTTTAATAGTTGGAAGAAGAAAAGAAATAAGCAAAAGCTCCATTTCAATTAGATATCATAATATGATGCCCCAACAAAGGCAATTGCAGATTGAGAGAAGAAACTATATGTCATGAACATGTATGATCATGAGTTTATAAATGTTCTATTATATGGAGAAACTATGGTGGCACTTAATTTTACAAAATCCTAACATACAAATGTCAAAGTGCCAGATTATATATAGCCTTGACTAGATAATAATAGTATGACATATTTTAGATTGTCATGAAAGCAAAAAAGAGATTAGCATGAATCATTTTCAACAATTTCTAGTTTATTCCATTAAAGGAAGCTGTGCCTGCGGATTTAGATATCGATCTTCCACTAAAGGTCTCTTTATCCATTCTTTCGGTCCTAATGTCCTCCATGCAAAAATATCTCACTTACTTGAATTGCTTGGAGCTTTCAGATGGAAGAGTTCCTCGGGCTTCTTCTTCTGCAGCAATTGCTGAAGATGATGTTTTCCAATTCCTAACTGCCAAAATGAACACTCTACCAATTCTCACAAATGGGCTTTCTTCATCCCCTTTGACACTATACCGGTAAGTTGTCGTTCCAAGCACAAAAACTACCAGTCCAGCAGCCATCACAATACCGGGTATTGCAAATCCAAGAACCCAACTAAGATTATCTTGGATGTAGTTTAAAATCGAAAGGGTAGTTAAGGTACCCCCACACATACCAAAGTACCACCAATTAAAGAACGAACTCTTGGCTTTGCACTCCTCTGGGTCTTCTGTATCAAATTGATCTGCACCAAAAGCTTGAACGCATGGTTTGTGTCCACCTTGTGCAAATGCCACTAGATACAGTGAGAAGAAGAATAGTATCACTTGAAACCGAAGTGAAGAATTTAAAGTGATATTATCTGCATTTTGGCCACCAGAAGTGCTGACAGAAGGAAAAGTGGCTGACAGAGTCAACAAGCCAAGCCCCTGTAAATCACTCCAAACCAAGTCATTAAGGAAAACACCTAGCAAGTACTCTAATCAATTAATAAAACAATTAAAATATTCCTGAGCAACCCTTTAGATTATGGCCTTCAATTAAATTTCATGTTTTCAAAGCTGTAGCTACCCTATGGCTACCAATGAGAAAAGCCATGTCAAGCAACAGATTGCTCAAGAACAAGTTGATATTACAGCAGGTTTTCTCAAATCTTGAATTGAGCTGCCAACAGCTGTGTGGTCTGTTGGTAAAGTGCTGGACTCTTGGTTACAATAACCAAGGTTCAAATCCTAACAACCTCAATCACCAAAAAGAATCTTGAATTGAGCTTCAAAGTTTTTGTTTGGGCATGGCAAGAAACTTCACTAATTTGAGAATGATGTAGTTCATTCATAATGATTAATAAGTTTAAGAGCCTGAGCCAAGGTTTCTGAACTCAAGCCTAAATTAAACTCTTTGTTTCCTTGGATGATTTAACAAATTTTTACACATACGAAGCAAGTACACAAATGCAGCTTGGAAAGGGGTTGCTTGAATTAAAAAATTTGTTCAGTAATTTTGTTGTAGTTTATGAGTTTAATTGTAATCTTTACTTAGATTTATGTTCTTAGGCTATTTTATATTAATTAGATTAACTTATTTTCCAACTATTAGGGTTTTACAGCTATATTAGGTATTATGCATTTTACTGGGTTTCATAAATACTACACTAGGCCTGGATTATCAAATGTTGAGACATTTGGATGATGAACTATTGAGTTTGAGATTTCTCCCCTTTATTGATTCTCCCTGGTTTCTCTCCCCAATTACTTCCTCGTTACTCCCTAATTTATTCCATTAAACTCCAGTTTTCCCACTGATTTCAATTCTCCATTTCTATTTCTCCTTCTTGTTCAAAGTCAATCTGCAAACAGCTAATAAGAAGCACAAGCAGATGGAGTTTACTAACCAAACCTTGTTCAAAATACAAATATAAACATTTAAACTAGAAAATGGATTTCCGTCAACTATATTGTCAACAAGCACAGTAAGGACTCAAGAAATTAACATGAACTTTGAAAGCAGGCACAATTTTATGATATAACATATCTTCCATCATAGCTAAGGCAGCAAAATTTGCCTGTTCTTTTACAAACTCTAGAGATCCGATGCCCATTCATCTTGCTCTTGTACTAGAGCTCACTATCTCTCAGTCAAATGACAACCCAACAAAGATGACTCATTTTCTCACAAGGAGCATAAAGCCATAAACTCAATGTCAAATGTGTTCCCAGACTGGACATTCTCTTCCTTGTAGTAATCCTATCCTTGATTGCCAACCAGGCAAAGAAAAAATATTTGGCATAGAAGAGGCATACCAAACAAGTTTAAACCAGGGAACCTTGAGCTATCTAGTCCAGACAGCATCCACAATGACAGAAAAAGGTTTTGAGATATGAACTTTGCATACTAGCAGCAATCATATAACAATGATTGAATCAACACCAAAGTTTTCTTATCTAGCATCTCTCTAAAACTACTCTCAAGCTCTTATAACTTAACTCAAAATTAAAACCAAGGCCAACTTAATTTGGAACTCAATCCCCAAGTCTGAGAAAAGAAAGATTATTATTATGATTATTAATGATGTAAATTATTATGTGAAAAGAAAGTATACCCTCCATTTCCTATTGTCAATACTTGTGGAAAAAAAAGAATTGCCAGATGGTAGAAAGATTTAAATTTTAATATGCTAAGTTATATTTAACCAAAATTCCAGGAATTATGGATTATCTTTTAAAAAGTAAACATGAACTAATTGATAGAAGAAATTATGATGAAAAATTAGTTCCTTTTTCTGTCTTTTCAATTGGAAAAGAAAAAAAGGAAATTTGTTTTACCAAAATGTAAACAAGGGAAGCAAGAATGATAGTGCTGTATCGGCCAAGAAAAGAATCAGCAATGAATGCACCCAAGAGTGGCAGAAGCGAGGCCGCCCCGGACCAGGCGTTAACTTGTGCAGCGGCGGTGGCAGTGGACTCGCCCAGAGGCCCCGTCAAGTAAGTTATGAGGTTTGAACCGATCCCGTAATAAGAAAACCTCTCAGCAATCTCTACGGCTATGATGAAAGAAGCGGATCTCCAACCGCCGGAGTTGGATCGGCGGACACGGCGGCCTTTGTAGTCAAGGCAGCCGTCAACAGTGTCATCCAAAAGTGGAGTTTGGGCAGCGGAGAGATTGGACATTGCCATAGCTTTGGTAAAAGTCTTGGAGTTTTGATGAATAAAAGAACTGATTCCACTCAGTCAAACCGCCTAGAAGAAGTAAGACAAAGACAAAGGCATGCCACCAGCCGCCATGGCGCTGGGTATCAATTATCATTCATTCTTTTTTTTTTTTTTTTTCTCTGAAAGTAATATTATTCAATCCCTCGTTGATGTGGTAAAATAACATAGAAAAAAATAGAGATATAAATGATATATTAGTATTCGTAAGTTATTCGGATTCGATTAGAATAAAATTTGAATTCGATTCGATTATTATCGAGTCGAGCTTAAATTTGAGTAGCTCGACTCATCAATCGAACTGAGTTCAAATATTTTTATATTTAATTCGAGTAGCTTACGAATTTAATCGAATTTTTATATTTAAATTTTTTTATTATTTTAATTAATAAAATATTTTGAATTCGAACTCAAATATGAGCACAAATAATCGAGCTTTTGTCAAGTATAAGAATTGAGCTTATTTTTATATATTTTCGAGCTTACTCGAACAAATTCGAATAGCTCGAATTCGATCACGAATCAAGCTCGAGTTAAGAAAATAAAATTCAATCAAATTCAAATCGAAATATCAAGTCGTGAGTTAAGAGTCAAGCTCAAACTCGAGCTTCTCACTGTATTTAATTAATAATATTTCATATCTATTTGTATATATGTGATGTTAAAATAATTAAAAACAACCTCAAATTGGTTCAGCATACTTTTTGAGAGGTGACTTTTAAAATTCGATTTTCAATTATTATAAATTTTTTTGTTTTAAATTTCCCTAAATTTAATCTTTCTATGAAAAAAATTTAAAAACAGCCATATTCTATTTCATAAAATTCATCTTTGAATGCAAATTACAACTTATTCTTCATCAAATTTTAAACTTCAACCCAAAGTGCGTATGGAAGACATTATCTAATAATATAAGATCATATATGTTATTGGAAATTAAATTTATATGTTCAACTAATTCAAATTCATTTTACTTTAACAATTAAAAGACAATTTATTTTTGTATTATCAAGTAACTTAATTTAACTAATTTATTACCTTCTACGTCTCTTCTCATATTCTTTTTCTTTTCTATTATTATCTTCTTTATAAACATTTTTCAAATTTATTTGTCATCATTTTTAAATAGCATTTTCTCAAATATTTGTCATTAAACTTATTTTAATAAATCTAAGTAAGCTTTTCTATAAATTATACCATCCATCTAAAAATAATTTTAAAAAATAAATATTTTATAATCAAAGGTTCTAATTTAAAATAATATATAACTTTATAACTTTAAGTTGATGTACTAAAAGATTAAAGATTTTATTTTTATTTTTGAATAAAGTTAGAGGTTTTATTTTGGTATTATCCTCATTGTGAGCAGTATCATGATCAAGTGATCACCCCATTACTCCATTATGAGCCAAAATTTTTACCAAACTTACCGTTTGTCAATTAAAGTAATTGAGATCGGCACACAAATTTTAGCTAACAACTGAGAACTAGTTATAAGCATTAAGATCATAAATCTCGTCTTTATCAACAAACTCGAATACAGAGTATAAAAGGAATCTATGCTTCTAACCTTGTCTAGAATAACTCAAATTTTACTATTCCACATTAGATATCCTTTCCAAATTAAACAGCATATGTCAATATTTAGTTAATGTTGGCACTTATTAATTTTGTAAACATCTTAATTTGTCTGGACCTAAGCTCATTAAGCTTAGTTCAATAGGGGTTGGACCTAGCCCATTAGGCTTAACTATTAGGTTTAGCTTAATAAGGTATATTATGTACACATGAATTCCACCACAAATAAAAATAAAATATTTAAATAATATATAATTTTGTCAAATATTCAATCACGAGGTACTCTTCAAACAAAGTAATTAAACATTATACAGCTATCAACAGAGAATAATTAAATATTGGTGTTAACTTTACTTTTGGCATCCAAAACAAGAGTTTCTATTGATTTTTTTGCATATGATTCTTGTAGATCTTAAGACATTGTTACAATTTCAGTTTAAAAAGGAAATACTATTAGATCCAGTAGAACTACAGTAATTTCAGAATCATTCACCTCAAATGACAGCTTTGGATTTTATGGTATCGATTGCCATCAATACTTTCATTCTCACATAAGATGGAAACATGGCAAAAATTGTAGAAGGTGATCGCAAGTATGTATATTGCTGAATTATGTGACAAGTGGGTTGGGGGGAATTATTTTCGTATTCTTGACAGATCGAAATTATCCTGGGTTCAAAAAAAATATCCTACCAGATCGAAAGAAACTTGTGGAATTTCTGGATTTGCATCAGAATGGGACACTTTCGTGGAATGACTTTGAACTAGTAGTAAGGCAAGCGAATGCGATAGCCCTTCCGTCGTCGGATTATTCCATACAAGCTAAAAGAGCAAGATTATTTCAATGCAAATCCTCAAGAGTGCTTTTGTCAGGGAACAGATTGTAAAGACTTACTAAGCCCTTGTAACTCAAGTACATTAAAATGATTGTGTGTGATCAGATCAGAAACTCAACTTGAGATGGTTTCCACACAATTGTTTCTAAATGCTGTAGATAATAATCCAATCAGGTTCAGGATAGAATACCCTAAACCACCATGTATATATGCACTTACAAAAGTTTTGTAAGAAACAACGGTAGAAAATCCTCCAGCTCCCATCTGGGCACAAAAAAGAAAAAATTTTACCCTTTGCTAATAAATTTATTTGTTTTTCTTTTGCGTCTTATCCTTTGATTTCCATTCAGCACTATCACATAATTCCACAGTTGAATTAACCAATATTTGTACAATTTTCTTGTCCCTCGGTTCCTCAAGCATCTTGATGCAACGAATTGATTTTCACACCTTCCAAACCCAATACACAATGCAACACAAAAGGAATGCATCTAGTAGCAAAACAAACCGATTGAACCAGTAGCAGAGACTAGATTAAGCTCAACTCCATCCACTAGTATAAACGAATCAGATCGACTCTATTGATTCCTTTATCAAAAATAAAAGGTATTGATCTGCATTTGTGAGTTATCCATTTTAGAAATTAGAATATTTTGAGCTTATGGAATTTTTATTTCATAAATCATTCTGTATTCAAATTCCTTTTCTTCGCTTTACCTTTTTAGACTTTCATTTATGGAGATTACTTCATTTCCAGCCAATGTCATGTTTATTGGCAAAGAAAAAAATGATATCAATATAATCACATTTTTAACAGAGTTTCAAGGAGTTGGAGGAGAGGAGGATTCGAGGAAGAAGAATAACACGGAATTGTTATGTTAACGTGGTGACTAATTGTACAATATTACCTGCTTTTGGAAATAAAGTTTAATAGTACCCCAATTAAGGAAATAAAATTACAAAATACTTTAGTCTAGGAAAAAACTCGTTGTTGTACCCTGGTCGCTCGTGTGTCCGATCAACGTCTTGACCACCAACAACTTCCCTCCAACAAACCCAACCCCAAAAACTTACAAATCCTTTTTCGCGCAAATATAGTTCTTTCGTAAACTAGGTGCCTGCTTAGTAGCAAATCATCCAACAAGGCACCTATCAGCTAGGATGCCTGCAACCCCACCGAGGTCATCCCCATGCACACAAGAGATCGGCCTCTTCCACTATAAACCCCCAACATATCGCTCATCAAGAGCACACTAATCCCCTAAACACCACCCAACATACTCAAAGGGAAACCACACAACAAACAGGCCTTACCACCCAACGACTTCTACAACCAAATGATTACAACCAAAAATTGGCAGAGCGGATCATTGCCCTCATAAAAGAATTTGGCAGAACAGATCATTGCCCTCATAAAAGAATTAAGTGACTTGAAAACAGCCAAAAATAAAGATTTGGAATGGTTAAAAGATGAATGCATGCCTTTATCCTTGGTAATCTGCCAAAAATAAGTGCCATCCACCTTAAAACTACAAAAAAGAAAACCTATAACGACACCACTGACCCCACGAATCACCTAGACCGCTTCAAAACTTTCATGGATCTACAAAACAGCTCAGATGCTATCAAACGCAGAGTTTTTCCCACTACTCTGTGAAGCACGCACGTACTTGATTTTACTCAGCTTCTTTTGGGTCTATTGTGAATTTTAACAAGTTGACCCATGAGTTTTTGACCCATTTTTTCAACAACAGGAGAACTATTTGCTCCTCTTCAAGCTTAATGACCATAAAGCAAAAGCCTAACGAGGCTTTACTGGAATACATTCATCGCTTTAATGTTGCTACAGTGGACATCCGAGATCTCAACTTTGAATGGTCCATTCAAGCTTTCATTTATGGGCTCTTAGCGATAATAAGTCCAAGAAGTTGTATCAGTTCTATAGAGAGCCAAGAAGTATGTAGAGACAAAGGAAATCAGATTAGCAGAGAAAGGACCTAAAAGCAGAGACTTGGGGTATGATCGTACACGTGAATATAATAGGTGACCAGATCCCCCAGACCAGTGGTTCTGTGATAACCACTAATTTCAAGACCCTCCCTTTCGGAAAAGAGAATAGCCCCCAACTATCTAAACACAATGAATACACTTCCTGAAACACCCCTCAAACTCAAGTCCTTATTGCCATCCCTGCAAAAGACTCCTTTACGACGTCCTTCATCATCCAAAAAGAGAGATAGAGGCAGACAGACTTTCAGAAAATGTTGTAGCTGCCATTCTGGTAACAAGCACTCAACGGAGGAGTGAATTTACCTAAAAAATGAAATAAAGATGTTGGAGCAGAAAAGCCAACCCGATTCGCAAGTTCAACAAAATGACGCTCTTCACAAGTAACAAGATTGCCCTTTAGGGTAGAACCAAGACACCAGTCAATCAAAGGTTGCTAGCATATGCCCTATTGCATAGGTAATTAATGTGACACTAAGGTAACGAAAGACTGGGCAATCAATAGATCCAAACGCAAATCCCATCTAAGGAGTATTATGGTGATAATTAAGGCCCGTAAAAAGCCTAAACGTGAGGACTAACAGATTACCTTCACAGATGATAACACCGAGATTTTAGTTGATAATGACAATGATCTATCGTAGTATCTACAAACGATTGGCAACTACAAGGTGAAAAGAGTTCTCATTGATAATGGCAGTGCTA